AAAAAAAAGAAAGACTCCAAGATGAACACGATGAGAACGGCATTATCAAGATAACAAAAACTCACAGTGAACGCATGCTCACAAACTGGAGGTAAAATGCACACGGGAACGCTTTGCGTAGGCCAAATTCCAGCTGTCAGCACGCGCACGGAGATGTCGACCATATTTTCACCACGCAAAAACTAAAATCAGTTAATGATGCCGAGTACGATGAAACTATAAATGATCCACTTGATAAACGAGCGCAGATTGAAGATGAACTGACGATGAAAAAACAGAATGCGTGATGAAACAGATAAAAGATCAAAGACTCTTGCTCAAAGAAACATACGTTCTCGCTATAATCTTTGAAAGCTGTTGCTTGAGTAGTCCATAACTCTTTATCGCGGAACATATTCTCCAGTTTGAGCGTAAAATGACAGCCGCATTCCGTCTGAAATAGTAATGATGCCATTTCTAAGAAAGTAGACTCTATCGTAAATACCTGGAAACGAATAGAAAAAAGTTTTTGAATTATATTTGAATTTTTCTAATAATCATTGTGCGGAAGTCACGTTGGTGTCAGGTAGTTCTTTCGACGGTAGTGTTACGACAAAAAGATCCTTATTCGAAAACTCAAAACCGACCTTTAGCTTGCTAATCATCATCCTTTCCATGTCATCCGAGATACTTTTATCGAGCAACAGACGTCTTGCCATGTGTTGTTTGTAGTATCTGAAGTAGTTTTAGTAGATGAATAGAAGAATTCAAGATATTACTAACTTTTCAAAGACATCCTTCTCCTGCAGGAAACGGAACAAAGCCATGGCTTTGTCAAGCAACTTCTCCGCATTTTCGTCATTTTCCTAAAACAACAAGCCTCAGGAAAGGAAGAGGAAGTCCCATTTCAGATGAGGACGCTCAAATGGATGCTTTTCATTTGTTTGCTTTTGAGTTCATTTTTTCAGTCATTGAGCAGACAAGGATAAGACCTGACTGGCCATTTATGCCAAACTAATTGGCTTAAACTAATTTCTTCATATTGAGATCGCCAATTTTGTGAATGACCTATTTCCCTTCTTCCAAATTTAC